AGGGCGGGAGCGCCACGTGTGACGTCACTCCAGGAAGATCAAGCAATACGATTACGTCATCTTAGAAACAGATTTGTCACTGCAACCTCCACAAGTAGAGAGATGTTTGGTGGAAGGGTAACTGCACAAACTGTTCGAAATCGCTTGCAGGCTGCTGGTCTTCGAGCTCGGAGGCACTATAATTAATGGACCAATATTGACACCTCTTCATCGCTGTAACCGACTTGTGTGGGCCACAAGACACATAAGATTTACTCAAAGACAGTGGAATTCGGTTGTCTTTACTGACGAATCTCTATTCACTTTGAGATTTGCCGATGGCAGGGTCCGAGTGTACCGCAGACGAGGTGAACGTTACGCTCAAGTATGCGTCAGAGAAGTTGACCGATTTGGTGGCGGCAGCGTCATGGTTTGGGGTTCTTTTTGTGCACATGGACGTTCTCCTCTTGTTGTTGTCCAAGGGAACTTAAATGCTGTCCAGTACAGGGATCAGATTTTGCAATCTGTTCTTCTTCCGTTTATGCAGAGACATGGGCCTGGACTAACGTTTCAACAAGACATTGCTCGACCCCATACAGCAATTGCTACCCAGGATTTTTTAAGAAATGCCGGTGTCCAAGTCCTGGATAGGCCGTCGCTTAGCCCCGACCTTAATCCTATTGAACACATCTGGGACGAACTGGGTCGACGTGTTCGTCAGCAAGTGAATCCACCACTGACGTTGCAGGACCTTCAACATGCTCTTGCTGAGCAGTGGCGACGTCTTCCTCGGGCAGTGTTTAATAATGTTCTGAGATCCATGAGAAGACGTTGTGTGGCAGTACGAGACGCTAGAGGAGGCCACAACCATTACTAAACACTTTATTTCGATTGTTCTCTAAGTCTGTGAATTTCATTTTGGGGGGTACTGTGACATCACGAACGTTATCAATGTCAAGGACTTTCGGCGAGGCGTATTCTTGCTTTCTGTTGATGTCAAGGTCGTCTGTGCACAATATAACACTAAAATAGTTGCCTTAAACCAAATATAAAAATCTAGTCCCAAAAATCCCGAGTGTCAAGTTTTTAATTTGGCTGAGTATATATTTAAATACGTTTTGTGGTGGATACGGTTATCGTAAAACTGGATAATCGAGACTTTGTTTATTATCGTAACAACGGTAGTAATGACAACCGAGGCTAGCCTATAATTGTATCGCTAATATCTAGGCTCAGAGTAACGTAATTTTCATTATCTATTTTTTAACTATTAAAGCGAGAACTGCCAGCTCTTCATCTAAATCTTACCTAATGCGGATTTAAGAAAAACAATGTTATTTTTCCGGGATCAATGCTCTGTTGATCTGACAGCATCCATTAAACTGGCGAAAATAATTCTTACATTTCTCCCGTTTCCGGTTACAGAACAAAAGGTCAAGGTTAACAGTGTAACTAAATAAAAACAACGTCTAAAATGAATAAACGTATAGTTAAAGGGACAATAACACTCTTGCTGGCTTGACAGCTCCAGAAAATAAATATTAGCCTTATTCTAAGTACTAGATGTTTATGTGTCCTACCTGTTGTGTAAATTATCCATTACATCCTATTTTACTTTTCAGAGGATTCGAAAATATTTTTAAATCCAAATCACATTTGAAAAGGTTTACGTTAGGCTTTTCAAATCATTTAGTTGAATTTTTCCAATTTTTTAAATTAGGTGTGTTAAGATGAAATTTGTATCATCAATTAATTGGAATATTGTAAAATAGTACAATTTGTTGACCAGAATAAAGATTGGGACATATTATTCTGTTACAACAAGAGTGGTATTGAGCCTTTAAGGAAATTCTCTAGAGAATAAACTGTTACTTAAACCCCATGTAAAACAAATTCAATCTTCTAATGTCATATAAATTGTTTTAAAAAGACATCTTGAAATCAATGTCTAAGATGAATAAACGTTTAGTTAAGGGAATTCTATAGAGAATAAACTGTTACTTAATCCTCGTATACATGTAAATTAATGTCATATAAATTCGTTTAAAAAGTCGTCTTGATATTTCTGTTGTTTTTTTTTTATAGATGTTTACCATTCATATATTTATATATACAGCAAGATAATTTCATGTAGATTTCCTCCCACTGCTAAAGACACTGCGAATTATTGAAATATAATTTATTACACCATGGACCTTATAATGTCCATGATTAAACCATATGTTAGTCCAAATATGACCTAGTTTTCTCGAGTGGAGGTTAAACTCTCTCTCTCTCGCTCTCTCTCTCTCTGTCTGTCTGTCTGTCTCTCTTATTGTTGTTTTCATTAGTCATGTTAGTTCGAAATGAAGTAAAATGGAGCCATACCGTGTGCTATGAGAGAAATTTTGCAGTCGTCAAAATAAAATGCCCGAATTCCCATGGCGTTTTGGTTTGTAGCCACTCTACATTGTGCGACAGTTTTCTGGCATCGATTATTATTTGTGTCACTAAGCTCCCAGTGAAATTTGTGGTATTGTGAATGCAACAATCTGATAGATTGAGTTAGCATGGGCTATATTGGACCACTTTCAGGTTGCTGTACCCATCGACTGAAATAGCAGCAAAAAAGACGCTCGCTGTCCCCACAAGTCGTGATGGGCGTCTCCTTCAGCGCTCATTGGGGCCCGATTTTGCCAGCCATAACTGAAATGGGTCTTTCCCCCCCCACTCCCCGATCAGACTCGTACGCCTATGGACGTCACAAATCAATAATGGCTAGCTGTTTCCTGGTTCATAGTATGGACGTACTTATTTTTATATAATTTTGTTTTTATGAAAACAGATACCCACTTGTCTGAAACATTGAGATATTATTAAATATGTCATTGTTTATGAAAACTAAGCCTAAAGCTCATACATGTCGTTATAAAAACATTTCGTCTGGTTTCCGGGTCCTAGTTCACTCAATCTGAATAAAGTACACATCTATATTTAGTTTCGTTTTTTTAATGGCTTACAATACATGAAGATCTGACTGGTTGTAGTGGAAGGTCGCGTCAGCGTATTAATCAAATATATGACGTCAGACATTGGTTAATCAAACAGCGTTGACTTTTCTAGTGGTTTACTCACAGTTCCGTACACCTCACGCCCAAAACCCGCCGTAACAGACCGTTTCATTGGCTAATCCCTCACATCATCCAGAAAGTTGGTTATAGTGCATCTTAGTGTAGTAAAACGAAATTTTGAACGATAAAAAACGAAAGGAAATAGGATCAGTGTTTGGATCAGATTGTGGTATAGTAGTACATGTATCGGGAACGGGGGCACCAAGATTTATTCAAGTTTCTCCCACCCACCAAACATGAAAATAAATAAATGAAATGGGGTTTAACGTCCTACTGTTCTGCTCCTAAACTGGGCTAATGAAGACGGGCATACGCCATACAGTGTGCTATGAGGGAAATTTTGCCCGGGCAGCAGCGCTACGCCCTACTCTTATATCGAATACCAGCTGCCAAGGGATTTTTTACGTGCACGCCAATATGTATAGGGGACCTCGGTTTTTCGTCCCATCCGAACGACTAGACAGCTGTCCTTGTCAGACCCTCCGTCCTGCATTACTGACAGGGGAAACCACGCCGGAAAATCTGGATGAACTTTCTCGGCCAATGCAGTGATCGAACACCCGACCTCCAGGCTAGCGAGCCAGCGTCTTAAATAAAACTACCCATGTTTAGGGCAACCGACTCCAAACTTCGTTTTCCATTTCTTCAAGTTTTACAAATCGGTCTTGCAAATTGCAAATACTCCCTTACATTTTTTAGCGTTGCGATAGTAGAATGTCAAAGTTCAACCCACAGCACATTGTGTGGCGTATGTCCGTCGTCATTAGTCCTGATACAGTATACACGTAGGACGGTAAACTCGATTTCATTCCTCTTCTGATATAAATTGAAGAGAGAGAGATGGGGTTTAACGTCCACTCAACACAAACTAGGTCATTTCGGAACTGACATATGGTTCAATTTTATTTCAATAATTCGCTTGCGGACCACGTTCTTCAGTTTACAATGCCAACCTGCTAAATGATTAGTTGTTCTTGGCCCCACAGTGGCGAAATGGTTCCAGATTTCTGTGCCGCCATTTGTGATTCAGAGGAGCTGTATATGTCAACCGATAAGCTGTGATTAAATATCAGTAGTTTATTTTTTTTATATTTCAAATTAATTATTACATCAACACAGTTCGCAATTTTAAATTTATAAGTAAACTGATTTCACCAATTTGCCCTTCTACTGATAGTGGGAAGTGTTCACCAGTGACACTAATTAATTAGAACAGACTATAGTCCTACACCCACAGTCCAGGGGGGGAAGGGGGTGCATGGCTGAATGGTTAGCACGTGCGCGCTGTAACATAAGGTCTGTCATTGAGTCAACTGGCGGGGTTTCGATTCCCTGGTTGTATGTGACAAGGAGTAGGGTCGCCTGTACAACCTCATGGGTTTTTTTTTCCGGGTTCCTCCGTTAACCTCCTACTGCTAAAGACCCCTACGCGTGAGTGAATTATTGAAATAAAATTAAACCATATGTTAGTCCCGAAATGACCTAGTTTGTGTCGAGTGGACGTTAAAGCCCATTTCTCTCTCGCTCTCTTCGGGTTCTCTGGTTTCCCACTGCTAAAGACCCCTACGCGCATGCTAATTATTGAAATAAAATTAAACCATATGTTAGTCCCAAAATGACCTAGTTTGTGTCGAGTGGACGTTAACGCCCCCCCCCCTCTCTCTCACACACACACACACCCACACCCACACACCACAATATGACATGATAACTTATGACTGCCCTCGAAATGACACCCCCAACCTCTCCCCGACTGCACGCCACTTTAATGTGTAACCACTATAGATATAATATAGGTATAGTTATTATACGACACCATGAAATAATCACTGATAATTGCTGATAAAAACATGAATATCGGAATGTATTGATCTTTGTAGGGTAGAGTAGTGGCGTGATACTCTCAACATCATTTATTGATAGCGTCCCCTCTTACAGTATTAACCAACCACTGTCTCCTGTATAATACTCATTCATAGTACCTCATCGTATTGTATCAGTTGATATTAACACACGGATTCTATCTCACATCACGTAAGTTCATCTTATATTATCACTACTGACACAGAGAGATAGATAGATAGAGAGAGAGAGAGATATATAGCACAAACTATGTCATTTCGGGACTAACATGTTCAATTTTATTTCAATGAATCACTTGCGCGTAGGGGTCTTTAGCAGTGGAGGGAAACCGGAGACTCCGAAGTGAGCGAGAGAGAAATGGGGTTTAACGTCCACTCGACACACACTGGGTCATTTCGAGACTAATACATGGTTCAATTTTATTTGAATAATTCGCTTGCGTGTAGGGGTCTTTAGCAGTGGGAGGAAACCGGAGGACCCGGAGAAAACCCACAAGGTTGGACAGGCGACCCTACTCCTTGTCACGTACAACCAGGGATTGGAAACCACGCCAGTCGACTCAATGACAGACTTTATGATACAGCGCGCGCACGCTAACCATTCAACCATCCAACCCCCTGCTGTACTGTGGGTGTAGGACTATAGTCTTTTCTAATTAATTAGTATCACTGGTGTGAACTTCCCACTCTTATTAATTAGTATCACTGGTGTAAACTTCCCACTCAAATTAATTAATTAAACATACATTATGCAAGAGCTAAATCTGCCTATCGCACGTCATTCTTTAGGCCCGAAATGTTATATAAACTATTAATAAGATATTTATTAACAAAACAAGACTATAATCGACTCTTGGTGGCATCGAATACTCGATATTTCAACTAGATTAAAAAGGTTCGCCATTTAAAAATTTAATTTAAAAATGGGAAAGCGAGGCTATGTCCCGATTATACCAGTGCCCTGGTTACCACTGTTCACACATCTTGTCAAAACTACAAACAATGATAACTTAGCAGACTATGAAGTAATTTGAATTATTATATTTTTGAATTATTATAGCAAGAATGGACCAACTATTTATTAAACTCTTAACTAATGTATCTTTAATTACTGTCACTGGTGGGGGGTTGGATGGCTGAATGGTTAGCGTGCGCGCGCTGTATCATAAAGTCTGTCATTGAGTCGACTGGCGTGGTTTCGAATCCCCGGTTGTACGTGGCAAGGAGTAGGGTCGCCTGTCCAACCTCGTGGGTTTTCTTCGGGTCCTCCGGTTTCCTCCCACTGCTAAAGACCCCTACGCGCAAGCGAATTATGTAAATAAAATTAAACCATATGATACTCCCGAAATGACCTAGTTTGTGTCGAGTGGACGTTAAACCCCATTTCTCTCTCTCTCTCTCTCTCTCTCTCACTGTCACTGGTGAACACTTCCCACTATCAGTAGAAGGGCAAATTGGTGAAATCAGTTTACTTATAAATTTAAAATTAAATTGCGAACTGTGTTGATGTAATAATTAATTTGAAATATAAAAAAATAAACCACTGATATTTAATCACAGCTTATCAGTTGACATATGTATATCCTCTGAATCGAAAATGGTGACAGAGAAATCTGGAACCATTTCGCAACTGTGGGACCAAGAACACCTACACATTTGAAAAGTTTAAACATTTGATACTTTAAAATGAAGAAGCTTGGTCCCGGCCATCCAAATATATACAAGTTCCTAAACTTGATTAAGTCCCGGGGGGGGGGGGGCTGAATGGTTAGCACGTGCGTGCTGTGCTGTATCATACGATCTGTCATTGAGTCAACTGGCGGGGTTTCGATTCCCCGGTTGTACGTGACAAGGAGTAGGGACCCCCCGTTAAACCCCATTTTTCTCTCCCTCTCTCTTTGATTCAGTCCGAACAGATAGGTATTGAACAGATAGGTATATTGAACTAACCATCAGACAACTGAAATCTGGGTGTACACTTGCTCCCAAAAGAAGACAGTACCGCCATATTATATGTATCTTTTACATGTAATCATTTTCACTAAATATTGTATAAATCATTTTGTTGAAGTGTCACAAACTTGTTACAGAGAGAGCGAGTTTAACGTCAACTTGACACAAACTAGGTCATTTCTGGACTAACACATGGTTTAGTTTTATTTCAATAATTCGCTTGCGCGTAGGGGTCTTTAGCAGTGGGAGGAAACCGGAGGACCCGGAGAAAACCCACGAGGTTGGACAGGCGACCCTACTCCTTGCCACGTACAACCGTAGTTCCTTTTTAATTGACCAATCAAATTCATGTAAAGGAGATATCTCCTAGATATCTGCTAAGAAGATTATGAAATTTATCACACAAGCGATATCTACTGTAGACTGTGTTATTGCTTCGTTCGTTCGTTAGTTTCTAGATTTTTTTTTTTTTTAAATAAGTTTATTTACAAATATTATTAACATATTATACACGTATACAAAATTATAATAATATGTAAAATTGGCAATATGCAATGGACAACAATATAATACATTAGCTGTTTATAATTGTTAAATGCAGCTATTTGTTGGGGTTTTTTTTATTTCCCTATAACAATTAAATTTGTAAGTAAACTACCATAAACTACCTAGAGTTTTACGTCCACTGCCAACTAAGTGTTATTGGGTGATAAATATCCTTATATAGTGGTAGTGAGTTTCTAATCATACAATTGATTCATTCATGAGTAAATTGTGAATGAAAGATAAGTGAATAATATTTAGGATACCCGTTAAGTTTAACTTCACTATCCCCACATCTGGGGCCTATTTCACCAAATTTTAACTAAGATAAAATTCTAATTTTAGTTATTTTATTGGATAATATTAGATTGATTTTAGTGCTCAGCCAATCACAATTGAAGTATCTACTAAAATTTGGATTTTATCTTTAGTTAAAATTTCGTGAAACAGGCCCCAGATTGTTTTGGTAAGGGATTGGGAGGTTACTGGACTGTGGGTGTAGGACTATAATCTATTCTAATTAATTAGTGTCACTGGTGTAAACTTCCCACTCTAAGTAATTAATTAAACATACATTATGCAAGAGCTAAATCTGCCTATCGCAGGTCTTACTTTAGGCCCGAAATGTTATATAAACTATTAATTAGACATTAATTAACTTATCCAGACGATTTTCACTAGAGTTGCTGCTCAACACTCATTGATGATTAAATCCAAAAAAGGACAATCGAGACTATGTTTTTGACCGTACCGACTTTAGTAATGATGATCGAGGCTAGGCTTAAAATTCAAAAGCTAATATCTCGGTTCAGGGTAGAGAAATTTGACTGAAATTTTCAACATCTATTCACGTTATCTATTTTTTAACTATTAGCGAGAAAGGGCAACTGTTTTTCTAATCTCCCATAATGCATCTTTAACACAGACTTTCTCTACTAAACACGTCATCACACTAAACACGTCATCAGATAAAATCGAACAGGACACAGTGACGCGCAGTGAGTCTCAACAAGTGTGCCGCGGCACACAGGTCTGCTGCGAGATCTTCCTAAGTGTGCCGCGAAATTTTCGACGGCACACTAAGAAAATCCGAAAACCCACACGATTCCAATTGAGTATTCACTGATGTCTACTAGTAAGTTCATAGCTGTGTTTTATTTTATTTAGTTTGAGTCGTTCTATGTTTCTATGACTAGCCTGTGTCTACGGTTGTATGCCGTCTATGACTTGCCATGTTTTTATTTTGCAAAATTCAGATATTTTTCACATATATTTAGCCAGGTGTGCCGCTATTTTTTCATGTGCTCTAAGGTGTGCCGTTGCCTAAAAAAGGTTGAGAACCGCTGGTGTAGAGTTTTTGCCCCAGCCCGACCCCGTGTAGTTTTTTAAGAACTTTCGTTTCCCGATTCTGATCTTGATCATTTCATAATCATATTCTGGAGGTTCCCCCTTGTTAGTGGTGTATGACGGATAGCCTGGTAAGGAACAGCGTATTGTCGTCCGGGTGCTACGAAAAACCGAGGTCCCGTGCACACATTGGCGTGCACGTAAGAGAACCTTTTTTGAAGGTTGGAATAAGAGTAAGAGTAAGTCACAGCGCTGATGTCCGACTAAAATCTCCCTTATAGCACACTGCCTGTCTTAATTACCACATGTCGTAGCAGAAAAGTAGGACGTTAAACCCCATTTCATTTCACGATATAAATATTGGGTTTTGTCCTGACATTGGATCTTGTACCTCGATTCACTGAAATTAACCCCAGGCAAACAAGTCCGGTTATTTTACGTTTACCCTAGTCAGTGATACAGGACGGAGGGCCTGACAAAGACAGCTGTCTAGTCGTTCGGATGAGACGAAACACCGAGGTGTCCGTGTACACATTGGCGTGCACGTAAAAGATCCTTTGACAGTTGGAATTCGATATAAGAGTAGGCCGTAGTGTCGCTGTCCGGGCAAAATTTCCCTCATAGCACACTGTATGGTTTATGCCCGTCTTCATTAGCCCAGTTCGGAGCAGAACAGTAGGGCCTTAAACCCCATTTCATTTCATTTCATTTACGATAACCTTCTGGTCAACATATAATAAAACTACTGATATTAGATTGGTCCAGTTCAATTCCATTCGATATTTACACAAATAGGATGAAACTATAATAGAATGTTCATGATCGAACGTAATTAACGTCTTATTATATCAAATCGAAAGAATTGAAATGAAATGAAATGGGGTTTAACGTCTTACTGTTTTCCTCCGACTGGGCTAATGAAGATAGGCATACGCTATACATTGAGCTATGAAGGAAATTTGCGGCACTTTGGCCTACTGTTATGTCGAATTTCAACAGCCAAGGGGTCTTTTATGTGCACGCCTATGTATACACGGGTCCTCGTTTTTTCTTCCTGTCTGAATGACTAGACCACTGTCCTTGTCAGTCCCTACGTCCTGCACGACTGACAAAGGGAAACCATGCCGGAAAATCTCGATGAACTTTCTCGGCCAATGTAGGAATGGAACACGCGACCTCCAGGCTAGCGAGCCAGGGTCTTAACCACTTAGCCACCGTGGCTCCCGAAATGGTAAGAGCTCACGACACAGTTTGTCAAGAAGATAGCATATTCACTAGTTTTAAAGAAACCCCATGTAGACGCGTCGGAGAATACTAACCAAGGTAAAG